AATGGCCAGCCTGCAGTCCAGATCTTTCACCTATAGAGAACATTTGGTGCATCATAAAGAGGAAGGTGTGACAAAGAAGGCCCAAGACGATTGAACAGTTAGAGGCTTGTATTAGACATGAATACAGAATGCTCCTGTATTTGGCCTCATCCATCTTCCCATCCATTCTGACCATCTTCCCTGTCCCTGCTGACGAAAAGCAGCCCCAAACCATGATGCTGCCACCACCGTGTTTGACAGTGGGGTTGGTGTGTTCAGGGTGATGAGCTGTGTTGCTTTTACGCCAAACATATCGTTTTGCATTGTGGCCAAACAGTTGGATTTTGGTTTCATCTGACCAGATCACCTTCTTCCACATGTTTGGTGTGTCTCCCAGGTGCTTGTGACAAACTTTAAACAACACTTTTTATGGATATCTTTGAGAAATGGCTTTCTTCTTGCCACTCTTCCATAAAGGTCAGATTTGTGCAGTGTACGACTGATTGTTGTCCTATGGACAGACTCTCCCACCTCAGCTGTAGATCTCTGCAGTTCATCCAGAGTGAGCATGGGCCTCTTGGCTGCATCTCTGATCAGTCTTCTCCTTGTTCCAGATGAAAGTTTAGAGGGACGGCCGGGTCACGGTAGATTTGCAGTGGTCTGATACTCCTTCCATTTCAATATGATTGCTTGCACAGAGCTCCTTGGGATTTTTAAAACTTGGGAAATATTTTGTATCCAAATCTGGCTTTAAACTTCTCCACAACAGTATCTCGGACATGCCTGGTGTGTTCCTTGGTCTTCATGATGCTCTCTGCGCTTTGAACAGAACCCTGAGACTATCACAGAGCAGGTGCATTTATACAGAGACTTGATTACACACAGGTGGATTCTATTTATCATCATCAGTCATTTGGGACAACATTGGAACATTCATAGATCCTCACTGAACTTCTGGAGTGAGTTTGCTGCACTGAAAGTAAAGAGGCCGAATAATATTGCACGCCCCACTTTTCAGTTTATTTGTTAAAAAAGTTTGACACATCCAATAAATTTCATTCCACTTCACAATTGTGTCCCACTTGTTGTTGATTCTTCACAAACAATTAAAATTTTATATCTTTATGTTTGAAGCCTGAAATGTGGCAAAAGGTTGAAAAGGTCAAGGGGGCCGAATACTTTCGCAAGGCACTGTACATACTCTGTCTGTGACATCTTGCATTATTGCATACGATTGCACATGTTATTTTCAAGGTTTGACCAAAAAGGCCATAACTTCATTTGTTATAAGATGATCTTGTTTTAAAAAGTAATTATACAGATTCCTTATTTGTAACAGTTCAAATCCACTGTTCTCATTGTGTATGAGAAACATGTAACCTTAGATTTAACTTGTCCCCCATGATAAATGACCACCCCTTGAGTTTAAAGCTGAATACAATAGGTGACTGGGACTGAGTTGTCCTTTGCTTCCACAGGTTGGCAATTAAAATGTTTTTAGTGAATCGTATAGTCAGTTGTTTTACAACTACATTAGGAAGAACTATTCATCCTTGTAACACGGAGCTGTGGTGTTTCTCAGCTAAGGCCACATGAGGGTAGTGTTGGCTTTAAGGCATTATTCTTCCTTTATCCACTGTACAATTCCCTGGAAGATTTCTATTTCTTCAATTATCTCTTTAATGTTCTTTTATGGGATTTTGATTATGCAAGAACACAGTAACTTAAGGGATTCCAAGTCTTTCTTCCCACAACATTAGTTTGTATGCTACATAACATGCCGTGTTGTTTGAACATAGTTTGCCCTCATGTGATGTACTGAAACTCATGTCAGAGCCATTTAGTAAACAATAGTCTGTAGCATAAGAGTCCCATTTTTTCATTTTTTTCCAAAATTCACAGACGGTCCTTGTCACGACAAGGGGCCTCCCTCCCATTTTTCTTAGAGACACGCTGCTCGCTCCCTCACTATCCATCCTTCGGTTCAAACAGTCTTTTACTGCCATCTAGTGGTCAAAAATTTACTACACACAAAAATTAACCAATGTTTCTTCTTAAAATTAACAATGGCTAATTATTGTAAAATTTCAAACATTATCGTTTATCGCAATAATTTCTAAGCCAATTAATCGCCCAGAAAAATTTATCGTGACAGGCCTACCAGTGACCCCCGTGACCCAAAAAGGAAGAAGTGGGCAAAGATTATGGATGGATAGATGATACTAATTTGTACCACCACTAGACGGCATGATGCATGATCTTTTAATCACCCCAGCTCTAAGGTCAAGGTCACATATCAAGGTCAAAGATTATACAAGTATTGTAAACATGCTGTATTGCTGTGTAATAGTTTGTTGACGAATGTATAATGTACCAGATGCATTTCTTGTTGCAGATATTCAGGTAAAAATTGGTGTGGTAGTAGCCACAATCTACTAATATTGTGCATAACTTTTTTTTTTTTTAACCAGATTTGACCAAAACAACTACAAAGCCATAACATCTCATATTTTTTTCTCTTTATTTAAGATAATTTTGGTCTAAACTCTGGTATAAAAAAAATTCTGGACCTGGTAGTACAACTTGAAACAGGTGTCGTCAAGTTGTTGTGACTGTGTGACTTTTCCTCTCTGCATTGGCGTTAACGTGAAGAATATTTAGTCTCGGTGCTCTGTGTTGTCCGGAGAATGTTCAAAAGGCAATGTTTTGAATTGTTAGGGACTCTGCTTGCCCAAAGTGTGGTTTTAGAGCGGATGGTGACTGGGGAGCCAGAGAGGCTGACAGAGAAAAGAGCAATAGGAGGTTGGGAGGCATCTCAGCCTATTTATCTGACAGCCATTTACCACGGCAAGTCAATGTGCCAACAATTCTCGGTGACTTCACGCTACACTGGCTACCCCTCCTCCTCCTTCTCCTCGGTACAAAGTTGTATCGACACAGTCTTTACGTGCACAGCTTTAGGCTGAGAGCAGCAGAACCCCTCGGCTCAGCCCAGGGGACAGATCCAGCCATGGCTCTGCTTCTGGATGGCTTTAATGGCACCCCGGCGTATCACTGCCTGATGCGCCGCAGGTTCAAGAGGAGGAGGAAGAAACGCTCAGAGCGCAAAGGTACGAACATACCTGCTGTTGCTTTCCTCCGACTGCTGTCTTTGTATGAAGGACTGACTTTGGAAACACGCAGCTATTTGGTTTCGTGCTCTGTTCCTTTCTCTCAATATGGAAAAATCACTGATAAGGTTTGAAACTGGATCCTGATCCACAGTTTGTTCTTCTGCTTTACATTAGTTTTTTTATTGTTGTTGCAATAGTTGGTCTGAACTATGATTATAGTGTGAATCTGGTTCTCTTTTCGTTTGCTAGGATAGTTTTCTTTTTTACTAAAGGTATCGACACGTATTGATCAAAACACCCTTATTCCTATGAAGTTATTATTCTTTTCTTTAAATATTCTGCTCCTTCTGCAGCTTTGAGAAAAAGACAGTCAAATCATATATGTACCTCAACCGTAAATAGAGAGCTATGACATTTGGTAGCAGTAAAGTAAAGTGCTATGTGTTGCCATCATTGTATGTTCCCATACAATGACGGAATTGGTTTTCTGCATTTAACCCATCTCATCTGAGATGCACCCAGGTGGAACAGTGGGCAGCTATGTGGGCACCCGGGGAGCAATTGGGGATTGGGTGTCTTGCTCAGGGACACCACATCATGTGGGAATGGCGAGGAGTCAAAATCGCGACTTTCTGGTCCCAAGTCGGCTGTTCTACCTGTACCCCATCTCGGCCCCCTGTAGATTGTGTGACATAAACCAAACTGGCAAGACAATAAAGAGGCTTTTCCAAAACAAGTGAGCAAAAGCCAGAATTCCTTGGAACTCCACATCTCCATAATTCATGGTAGAAACATCAAAGTTCAAACGAGTCACACAAAGTTGGACTTTTCATGACTGATCTATTACTTTTGATAGCTTAAAAAAAAAAGTTTTTATTGAAATTTTCCTTTGCTTATAAACGTATAACCTCCATATATAAATAGAACGTGCTCAACATAATTTAGTTTCCCCTAGTTTACTTGCCTTGGCGCTCGTATCTTTCGTGATTTTTGTCGATGGGGGCACGTGGGTGGGGGTTTGTACCGACAGTTTTCGAGTGGGGGGGTGGGGAGTTGGAGACGGCTCAGCGTGACAAAGACGGAGCCATAGTCATAGCTTTTTAGCTAGCGCGTCTGTATTGTGCGCCGCTAGCTTAGTGCTACGTCCGTGCCGGGAGTTGTCAACGCGAGGGGGGGGGGGGGGTCTGTAGGCAGGGCGCTCAGTTTTGTTCACAGGGCGGGGTGCCCTGCTAGGGGAAACACTGGTTTAGATCATTTAAAATGGGAAACGGAGGAAAGATTATTTAGCTCTTCAGAATTACTCGACCCTAATGAAAGCTTTGACCAGCTTTGACAAGGTAATGGCTGGTCCGAGCAGGCCAATATCCAAAGCAGGTTTTTGCCATTTTAAAATACCAGTTTTCATCATTTTCTAGCAGTTTATGCCAACATTATTTTATAAATGTTCATAATTTGAGCTGGAAGTGTTGCAGCTAGTTGGTGCTGCTATTTGTGCTTGTAAATACCCACAGAGTTCCACATAAATGTAATAACTTATGTTTACTGTGTAGGTTTAACACATAGTTAAAGGTTAAAACAATTAAATTACTGAATGATCATCTTTCCTTTAAATATGCGAACGACCCCAGTTCTGAAAAAGTTGAGATGCTGTTTAAAATGTCAATTTAAACAGAATGCAATGTGCAAATCTCATGAACTCTCATTTCATTCACTAAATAAACTAATAACGTCAAATGGTAAAACTAAGAAATTGTACCATTTTAGGTGGAAACAAATCTGGTCATTTTGAATTTGAGCAACAAAAGACATGAAAAACAATTATGTGGTCAGACAAATTTAAATGTATTTCTGGAAAATATTAATGCCACATCCAATGCCATTTAGCCTATCAGTGCACAGTTCAAAAGCTGGCCTCACTGATGGTATGTGGCTGCATTAGTGCCCAATGGGACATTATAAAGACTTGAATTGTTGAGTGGACAAAGTTTATTACAGACAATTTTAGCGGAAACTGAACTCATCACCTGCTTTGAAGCAGAAAAAATGTTTTCAGCTCAACATAACCAGATAAGTAAATAGTTTTCTTCAATTGTTCTGTTTTACAAAACCACAGTTTCAGTGTTTGTTGCTGTTCAGATCAGTGCTGCGCTAACTCCAGTTCCCTTTTTAAACGGTAGGTGGTGCTACTGAGAAAACAATACCGTTCCACCGCAGGAACGACACCTGAAAAAGAAACTACTTTCCATATTTATAAAAATATTTTCACAATTTGTTTTTTCCTTTACATTTTAAAGCTGATTCCAGTTTAAACAACCTGCTTAAAGATTAATTACCTACTGTTTAAAACAATCAGATTTTATCAGTTATTTAATGATGCTAATGGGCGATCTCACAAATATTGCAAAATGTTGTGCAATCTGTAAAACCTTCTATCTTGGGCCTCGGCTACTACCAATTTTAGCTCTATCTGTAAAATTGACCAGGTTCAAACCAATTTTATCTGCTGCGGCCATCTTGAATCGAGTTAAATCCAAAAGTAAACGAGTGACAGATGTACATCCAATGCTTTATTTCTCTGGGTTATGTACTTTGCAACCAGGAAAAGAGGTGTACCCATAAGAGTTGACGCCAACGATTTAATGTGTAACGCTTGTGTGGTGAATGACTCTCAGCTACTACCACTCCAAATTTGAGCTCAGGATCTGTAAAATTGACTGAGTTAAAGCCACATTTATGTTCTTTTAAAGTGACAGCTATGGTGCCATTTTGAATCGAGAGTTTTTAATTGTAGCTGTGCCGTCTATCGACTACTTTATGAAAGCTTCTATTAAATCAGCTCAGTGGTTTTTAAGATATTTTGCTAACAGACAAACACGATTGACTCCAAAGGTTAATGGCAATTTTTAAGCAAATTTCTTGGCTGCATTAATTAGAGCTCAGATTATGGGTTGTGACTTAACTCTCAGCTACTACCACACCCACTTTTAGCCCATCTTCTTTAGCATTTATTCACATACATCCCTTTAGGTGTTTCCAAAGATTTGTGAGCTGTGGCGGCCATCTTGAATTGAGCTGACTCTTAAAGTAAATTATTTGTAGGTGTACATTCAAGGATTGCTTTCCGAGAGGTTCATTAAAATCTGTGAAGTTGTTCATGAGATATTTTGCTAACAGACAAAACAAACTGTTAAGTAATTAAATGCAAGCCGAACGTACAGTAAGCTCTTCAGATCCGGCAGAAACAAAGCTCTGTTTTCGTTTTATTCTGCTTCACCGGCAGGACGCGGGATTACAAACGCCTGCTAAACCTTTCACTGATTGCAGAACCTCAAGTGGGCCTAATCCTTCAAATTAATTCAGATTTTAGCAGCCGTCGAAGCAGCAGGTGCGCTGTAACGTCTCTTTTTTTTTTCAATTAATTTGAATCTAATGGTTATTCATGTCGCAGCAGGAACAGCGTCTGGGAAGAACGAATCAGCCGTTGTTCGTACTTTGCATGCGGAGTGAGTAAGAAGCCCATTATTTTCATGTCCCTGGGAAGCGAGGTGCTGTGAGATGAACTCGAGTGTGAGTTTAATCTACTGGGAGCAAAAGTGAATTTCACACGCGGTATAAGCCGATGTGCTCCGTGAGGCGCGTACGGCGAAACGCTGCGGTAGGATGTATCCGTCGGCCCAAAACCACAGCGGCAGATCTCCGATGTGAAGGTCCTGATAGAGCCTGCTCCCTCCACCCGGCAGCATAGATGTGGTATGAAGCTCCGCTGATGCACTGAGCACCTCCAAACCCTCTGACCCTCCAAGTACTCCGAGAGGTGACGATGACATGTGCTCGTTTTGATTGGCGAGGTTTGATTCTCACGTTTTAGTTGTCGTCTTTTTTTTTTTTTTTCGTACTCTTTTTTGCTGTCTTAATTAATTCAGCTTACATTGTGTTGTTTTAGCCATTCATATGTTGAAACCTTCAGCTCTTTCAGGACGTGGGTGCTCTGAGGTTTGGTTTTTCCACCTTTCAAATTTGACAAAATATTTAGCTTTTATTTACGATTTTTCCCCCACAGATACATGGAGCTCTCTTCAATTTTGTTAAAAGCTTTATTCTCTTCAGCTTCAGTGCACTGGCTTTGTTTTCATTTTATGCTACTTTTAGCTTTTTTGCCACTGTTCTGCTACTTTTAGCTTTTATCAAGCCTTTTTCTACTTTTAGCTACTATTCTCCTTTTATATAGTCTTTTATACATTTTGCCTTACCTGTTTACAATATTTAGCTAGGCTTCTGCCGTTTTTAGTTTTTATGCTACTTTTAGCTTTTTGCCACTGTTCTACTTTTAGCTTTTTACAAGCCTTTTGCTACTTTTAGCTTTTAGCTACTATTCTCTACTTTTGGCTAGAATTTTGCTACAATTTGCTTTTACCCGTTTACATCATTTAGCTAGGCTTCTGCCGTTTTTAGTTTGTATGCTACTTTTAGCTTTTTGCCACTGTTCTACTTTTGGCTTTTATCAAGCCTTTTTCTACTTTTAGCTTTTATCTGTTGTTCTCCACTTTTAGCTAGAAATTTGTTACATTTTGCTTTTATCCGTTTACAACATTTAACTAGGCTTCTGCCATTTTTAGTTTTTATGCTACTTTTAGCTTTTTGCCACTGTTCTGCTACTTTTAGCTTTTATCAAGCCTTTTTCTACTTTTAGCTACTATTATCTACTTTTATATAGGATTTTATACATTTTACTTTACCTGTTTACAACATTTAGCTAGGCTTCTGCCGTTTTTAGTTTTTATGCTACTTTTAGCTTTTTGCCACTGTTCTACTTTTGGCTTTTATCAAGCCTTTTGCTACTTTTAGCTTTTATCTGTTGTTCTCCACTTTTAGCTAGAAATTTGCTACATTTTGCTTTTACCCGTTTACATTTAACTAAGCTTCTGCCATTTTTAGTTTTTATGCTACTTTTAGCTTTTTGCCACTGTTCTACTACTTTTAGCTTTTATCAAGCTTTTTCCTACTTTGAGCTTTTAGCTACAATTCCCTACTTTTCTAGAATTTTGCTTTTACCCGTTTACATTTACCTAGACTTCTACCGTTTTTAGTTTTTTTGCTACTTTTAGCTTTTATGAAGCTTTTTTCTACTTCTAACTTATTGCTACTACTCTCTACCTTTCGCTAATATTTTGCTACATTTTGCTTTTACCTGTTTACAACATTTAGCTAGACTTTTTTAATTCTACTTTTAGCTTTTTGCCTCTGTTCTGCTACTTTTAGCTTTTGCTACTTTTAGCTTTTACCTGCATTTTTTTTTTTTTTTTGGCTAGAGTTTTGCTTTGATCTGTTACCAACATTTAGCCATGCTTCTTTTTGTTAGCTTTTTGCTATTCATAGCTACTGTACTACTTAAAGATTTTGGTAAATATGCAAATAGCTTTTTTCAGATGATTACTTCCTCTAGTATCAGATGCTGTGCTAATATGCTGGCAGGATTTTTACTGAAGCCTTTTTTACTTTTGGACATTTGTTATGATGCGTAACCATAACAACAAGGTGGTTTTCTACAACTGGGAGCAGCTGATTAACATCTCAAAAGCTCAAATCTCAACTACAGCCCCAAATCCCAAATGAGTTGAAAAGGAAGTGCCGTGGATGCATTCCCATCTACCTGGAGGCAGTGTTCGAGTGCCCGACTGCAGAGATCTTGGAGGTAGTGGGAAACGCAGCTTGTGACAGCGGGAGGACTAAGATCATCTCCCGGCACCTGCAGTTAAGTCTGCGGCAACAAGGGGCTTGGCAGGCTGCTGGGAGAAATGGCCACCGCTCGGGGAGAAGGTCTGCCCGACATTCAGGCAGTCCTGCTGCCCAAGAGGACCGAGAGGTCTGCTGGGTCTGGGTGGACAGATTGACAATTGTAGGCAGTTTCTTCAGATCCGCTGTGGGACGGACTGCTACAAGAGATCCTTCCTGCCCAAAGACATCAGCATCTAGAACAACTCTAATGGAAACCAAGATGAGGTACAACAATTTATTTCACTTTGGCATTAATAAAGTATATTTGAATATATATGCCGATAATATCGTGCATCCCTACTTGGAACCACGAACAAGGTGGTCCCAGAAACCATACTGAGTGGTGGTGGGTAGTGGCACTGGGCAGGCCCTTAATTGGTGCAGTGTCGTGTGGAGCCGTTGAGAGTTGAGACTGTGGCAAAGCGCCATTAGTGGCCAAGTTGTGTGTATTTAATATATTGTCTCTGTTTTTACAACATGGGACTTTTTTCCATTTTAATGAAAGTCAAATGTTTTCAGCTCGACGAGGTTTTAAAACTTCATTTATGCTTTTTTTGTTGTTGTTGTTGTTCAAAACTTAAAATGAAACATTTACTTGTCTGCCTTCAGAGTTTATTCCAGCAAAGATGATGGAAATGAACTGTTCTGAATTCTGAGACGTACCCTCCTTGTTAGCCATCAACAGACAGCACCAACCTTTTCTCCTCCACCTGCTCATCCACCAGATCCTAGCCGCCTTAATCCAGAGGCCACGGAGTGTGAAATTCAAAATCGTCTCTCTCGGAGAGATAGCGGAGGACCTGACCCTGCCTGAGGCGAGAAGAACAGAGATAGCCATCTGTTGTGCATGGCAAGACCAGTGATGCAGAGAGAACGGGGTACAGGAGGGTCGGCGAATACCAGCAGAAACCTGAAACCTCAACTCCCAACATCCCTAGACTTTATTAACAATAAGAAGAAGAGCTGAGCTGAAGTGAAGTTTTCATCTGAAATCACCTGTTGGACCGCAGTCTGAACTCTTTAAGACATCCAGTTTGAGTAAAGGGTTAGGGTCACAGTTGAGCTGCTGCTCATTAAGCAGCTTGTGAAGCAGCTTTTCAGGCTCATAAATGACCCGTGGCTATAACACTGATGGCCACAGTCAGTTTTGGCCTCATTCACTCTTCTCACTTCATACCTTCTCTTCAGAATGGTGTAGTTTGACGGCAGCCGTGGTCATCCCGGTTACTTTTGTTGTTCTCCTTCACTTTGAAACACATTTATTATTGTGTGAATGTTTTATGACCAATTTCTCTTCCGTATGTTTTTCTGCATCTTTCTCGTTCCACAGTTTTTGGGCTATTTCAACAAATCGTATATCAGAACGTTCAACTTGTTCAATAGAAGGTTCTAGGGCTTTTGTTATTGGTGCAACTTTAGCTTTTTTGAAATATTTAGCCTTTTCTGCTACATTTTTTTTCTATTAGAAAATGAATTGGGCTCATTTTACATCCTTCAGATCTCTAGATCTGTTTACAACCGTTTACTGCTCCTTTCACATTTTGTTCTGCTTCAGCTTCTTTCAGCTTCCTAGTGCAAATGTAAACTTTTTTTACAGCTACTTTCAGCTGTTTTTTCCAGCTGTTTTGTGCTTCTTCCAACTTCTTTCTGCTAATTTCAGCTTGTTATGCTCTGTTCAGCTTATTTCTGCAAGTGTCAGCTTTTTCTGCTATTTCAGGTACTATTTAGCTGTTTTATGCTAATTTTAGCTTTTGAGCTAATTCCAAATTTGTCGCACCCATTTTTTTTTTCAGCCTAATTCAGCAAAAATATGCTCTCTCTACTTCTTTATGGTAATTTAAGTTTTTTTCTGCTTTTTAGCTACTATTCAGCAGTTTTTTTTCTTTTTGTTGTTGCTAATTTCAGCTTTTTTTCCGATAATTTCCACCTTTTTTTTGTGCTCATTTCTGCTTCTTTCAGCACAGCTGGGCAAACCAAGTGTTCTTTTTGCTTTCTTCTGCTAATTCAAGCTTCGTCTACCTTTTCAACTACACTTTTTGCTTTTTTTGTGGCTGATTTCAGCTGTTTTTAGATAAATTCAAGTTTTTCATGTCAATTTGTGCTTTCAGTCTAATTAACTTCTTTATGCTAATTTCATCTTGTTATGCTCCTTTCAGCTTTTTCTGCTCTTTCAGCTTTAGATCTTTTGATGTTAAATTTAGCCTTTTACAGCTAGTTCCACTTTTTTCAGCTCATTTCAGCTCTTTCTACTTTCTTCTGCCTTTCTGCTACGTTTCAGCAATTATTTGCTAATTTCAGCTTTTTTTAAGCTAACTTACTAATTTTTGTGCTCATTTATTTAAACCTACCAGTAATTCAGCAAACATGTATTCTTTCTGCTTTCTTCTGCTAACTTAAGCTTGTTTTTCCATTTCAGCTACTTTCCAGCATGTTTTTTTTTTTTAGCTAATTTCAGCTGTTTTTCATTAAGTTCTTCAGCAATAAGCATTGACACAGTATTTTTGCAGTAAATGCAATTTCTCTAAGTATTCATTTATTTATTTTAGCAATAAGGAAACTTAAAAGAAGGGCAATCGTCATACATGTGTCAATCTTTGGCAGGGTGCTCATTTAAAAAGATGAATGGATTTACTGGAACTGGCACATTTTAAAGCACCATCACATCTTTGATAGTTGGAACTGGGACAACAAAAGACTAAAGCGGTACTTACGGACACAATATAATGCATTTCACAGGATGAGGCTGTGGCAGCCATCTTGAAATAGAGGTTTTAATTGGAAGCAAAGACTTTTAAAAACTGTTAAATTGGAATTTTACCATTAATGTGCAGCCACCTGGTTTGTAATGAATATTTTTAATGGATGCACTACAATATCTTATCTGATGTGAATATTTCTCTTCATGGCCTGAACGACTACACGTCTGTGATTTACAGTCCACGTCCTGTTCCTTCTGGCTGTTTATATTCCACAGTTTAATTTTCTGTCCATGGCTATGCAGAAAAGAATGGTTCCTCTGGATTTGCGCACGGTACAGACAACGAATTACCTCAAACCTGTCAGCGTGTCTGTCAATAATGAGGTAAACAAGTTTTTTCAGTCGGCGTAATTTGAAATCACAAAAGTTCTGCGACGGGCGTTTGCAAATTTGTTGTCACTTCGCTTCTGCCGTGTTAATTTGCTTCCTCCGTTATCTTGAAATGAAAACCTACGACCTTTTCTTTCATCTGTGTCTCGCAGCAGAGCCACAGAAGCCTGATAACTTTGTCATTTCTAATGTTTGGAGTCTCGCAGCTTAGCGGCAGCGAGCCATGTCTGCCAACAAATGAGCCAGTACACAAAGAACATCAAGTCTTTCTCCTGTTTATTATTGACTCCAAATTCTGTCTCCAGAGGACAGTTAATTATCGGTTTTATTGGGTCTAATTTAAGTCTTCTCAATCATTGCAGAAAATTGCGAACAGCAGGCCTGTCAAGATACCAAATTTTGTTGGGCGATTAATGGCCTCAGAAATTATCGCGATAAACAATAATATTGTTTGAAATCTGATTTTGTTCTGTTTTAATCCAGTTGTGTTAAAGGGGTGCTTTTCCTTGAAATCCAATAATTGTGTGAAAGAACAGACAGTTTGACTGAACTTTGTGTTTCCTGCAGGTGTCCAGCCAACTTGGAACCAACAAAGGCTGCTGGTCATCGAACGGGTTGAAACCGAAAGGATGAGTACGTCTGCTTTTGTTTCAGCTCTAAACAAAATGTTTATCTGTGTTTAGTATGCTCAACTAACTAAATGTACGTATTAGATGAGGATATATTGTTAAAACCAAATTTAAATTACAGCTCCCTTTGAGAATAACGCTGAATCCAGGCAGGAACCTGGTGCACAGGTTAGGTCTTCATGCACATGAATGTCATAATATTTTGGGAATTTTGACAATTTATTTAAACTGTTCTTTTTCTATGGTGGAATAATTAGACCACATATAAGTTTATTGACTTTTAAAAACAAGAATTATGTGCACAAGTTTGAATTTATTGTGAATTTTCTCTAATCAACACGAGGGCAAAATTGTACCGACATTCAACCTACAAGGCTCCGTAAAGTCGGGCACCTGAATTTAATTGTAAATTGTTCAAGACTTACGTTTGAACTCAAGCCTTTAGGTCTACTGACCAGAAACTAGTGTTCCACATTTTTGATTTAAAACCAAAGGGGGCCGTGATATCCAAACTGTCGCTCCTTGTAACTGGGACCCTGTGTACACAATTTCGTTCCACCACATGCACCACATGAGATGCGAATGACAAAGAACTTTGACCTTGTTTTTATGATACACTGACAGGGTTAAGCCTTTTAAAAATCAGCTAAAGAGGGTTTTTGTAATTTTACTGTGAAGCGCTTTGTGTATTGCTCTTTAGAAGTTAACCTATTTACCGTACATTAAAAAAGCCTTTGTTTGAGAGCATTAACTGGACTGGTGAATACTCATCTACCACCATCTGAAAAAAAGACATAGGTTAATCCCCCAGTATACTCCCACGTACGTCAGTCCGCAGAGGTCCGCGCGTACCGGATTAGAGCCGAATCGGACGCTCGCAGGGCATGTCCGCGCAAAGCTCAATTTTTACAACCGCGTACATGTACTCTGTGTCGCACAATAAACTGCCCGGCGACGGACTGTTGTATGCGACACCAATGTATTAAATTCCCCTTCTTCATCCCTGATCTGGCTTGTCTTTTGATTTTTTTGGCCAAAAGGCAAGCGATCTCTTCCTCCTCCGTTGATGTCATGACTGAAATGGTGAGAAATGAAGGAATTTGTCCTGAGCAAATTAAAATCAGGTCCAGCGTTGCTGCGGGAGGGTCTGGAGATTTCCTGGTGGACCGCTCTGACGTGTGGGCTGCAGGGCCAGCGCTCCCTGTTTTTTTGTTTGTTTTTAGAACTTTTTATTAACAACATATAAACACAGAACACTGCTGCAGCCGGGCTGCCAGCTCTAGTTTTTTTTTTTTTTGACCCATCAATCCAGTAGGCATGTCAGCAAATGACCAATCGGCGACCTCAATTTGTCCAGAAGGTAAACGCCCATTGTCTGCGGAGCTGCTCTGCAGTCGCTCAGGGTGGACGCTCGAGCATGAAGTCTCAATCCTCTGCGGACAGTGCGCACAATTTCCACGCGGCTGACAGGACGCGGGAGTATACTGGAGCCTTAAGGATCTGTCAGGACCCAGGAACCACTAAGGCTCATGCCTGTCATGAACTGGAGACTGCTGGAACACCATTGTCCCTGTCCACAGTGAAGAGAGGCTCCATCTTCAAAAGTTATACCTTAAAGATCAAAGGACAAGCCAAACTTCTTCCGGGAAAAGGTTTTATGGTCAGAGGAGGCAAAGACTGAACTTTTTGTCCACATTGACAAAACGTATGTTTGGAGGACTGAGGCGAGGTTTTCAAAACTAAAAATATTGTACCAACTGTCAATCATGGTCATGGTAGTGTCGTGTTGTGGTACTAATACATTGCAGAAAGTGGAATAATTAAAAGGTACCGCCACCAAATTCTTCAACTTCACCTCAAATCAACAGCTAGACGTTTAAACCTGGACACAGTTGGGTTCCAACAGGACAATAATCCCAATCACATCAGAACTGGTTTCTAATTGGATAAATCAGGGTAACGTTAAGCTTCTGGGATGGCCTTCTCAAAGCCCCAGTCCTTTTGACAAGTTAAAAGCAACATCTATGCAAGAACAGTTTAAAAGGTTTTTGTGAATTCTACCAAGATTAGTGGTCAATAAAAGCCAGAAACTTGTTGATGGCTACAAAAACCCTGTTGTTGAGGTGCAACTCACTAAAAAACATTTAACTACTTATTAGTGAAGGTGTAAATATATATTAAAGCCTGTGTGTATATTTACACTGTTTGAATGAGAGAAAATCAACAATAAGTTCAACGTTAAGTAATTCTTCTTTTCAAAAATCACATAAGTACAAAATAGCCCAAAACTAATGACATTCTTGCCCATGATGAGTGGATGTAAACTTGTGACTACAACTGTATGTGTACTAATAGTACTGTGTATAATATCCTCAATGTACTACTGTTGCTTTTCTTATCGCTAAAATACAATTAGTGTTTTTTTGTCATCTCAGAAGACAAATCACAGATTAGATGAAGACGTAGCACTTTTCTTCATAATGTTACCTAACTAACATTCTCCTGACACGATATAACTATTAATATCCGAAAAGATTTGTGAAAAACAAGTTGCAGATCGACTGATTCAACCCAAAATTAGACTGAGAACCAATTATTTTTGAAGCATTCACTGCATGACTATCTTTTACCAACAGATCTATACTTCTACAGGGTTATTATTTAGGCTGTAGCTTTTTTTGCATTGCACCAATTACAGGCTCTTTTTGCACACTTGTATGGACAGTAGTAATCCTGCATCTTCTGGGGGGAACAAGTGGATTATGCCTGACAGTGTGGGGGTTGGTGGCAAGCTGGCCCCACAATGGCAGAGCTCAAGGTTGTTGAAGGGCTTTTATTGGTATTTAAAACATCAGAGAGCAAGTCAAAATATGAGGTAACCCTTGACATACTGGATATTTTCCTTCAACAGTAATATATATATATATATATATATATATATATATATATATATTCTAGTTGTTTCAGTAACAATAACGTGGCCCCTCCTTCCAAGAACATGTATTATCGCGTTCCTCCTCTTGTTGCTCAGAGCATTATCCTCTTGTTTTTCTCTCTGAGTTCTGTCCCCTGCGTACATGTTTGCAGCTGCTGAATGTGCTCTGACTGAAAGCCAGATTCGGTTCAGTCCAGGCAATGTTTGCCTTTTAAAAAGGAAAAGAAAATTTGCTCGAAACAGGACACAACTATACATCGTAAATCCCCTAGATCTTTAACTGTCCTGTAGCTGTCTATTGGTCGATGAATGTTACCAGTGTTGATTTTTGTCATTTTCTCACGGTCATCTAAAACTACAAATCTAGACAAAGTTATGATGTTACCACAGGTATCAATTAGAGGACTTGTTCCTTAAAAACACACAATGAATGGTTAAAAATAGTCTCATTAACCCATAGTCAGCAGCCTTTAGTTGACTAGTTTGTAAAGGTCCAAAGATCTAACCTTTGGTAGCGACATGTCAAAATGTATTCAGTTAATCTGTCAACAACACTTTTATTTCTGTCTTGTGCACCAAAAGTAGAAACCTATCATGCTTTTGTTGTAGGATGTTATAAATGGAAATTTATACCAACTTCCATTGGCTTTGTTAACAGGGTCTAGTGATGTGTGTTCGCTTCAGAGAGGTACTTCATCGTGTTAGGACCCTTTGCACTTTACTAACCTTACTGCATTACAGTAATCTATTCATGAAGGTATTATTCTGTAGAACAGAGAGCACACATCACTTAGTTCAGTTGCAAAGGGAGATGAATGAATCTCTAAATTTGACATTTACAAGCTCCGGCAACAAAGGCATAGTAAGTTGCTCTTTCTGGACATCGCAGGTTCACGCAGCACAGATGTTAAGGAAAATCAAGAATTGGACAACCCCTGTTCCAAAGAGAGAGTTGGAGCTAAAGCTATACAACTCCCCAACAAGAGTGCTAAGTGCGGCAGGAAGCGTCCCCTTGAGGAGGGCAGTAATGGCCATACGCATTCCAAGTATAAGCCTAAGAAACGTAAGAAAGTTTCTGGACCCATTCTGCCCAAGAATGCGCTCATGCAGCTGAATGAGATCAAACCTGGGTTGCAGTACAAACTTCTTTCCCAGACTGGACCTGTCCATGCACCCGTTTTTGTGATGACTGTGGAGGTCAATGGGCAGCTCTTCAATGGCTCTGGTCCTACTAAGAAGAAGGCCAAGCAGAACGCAGCAGAGAAGGCTTTGCGTTCCTTTGTTCAGTTTCCCAATGCTTCCGAAGCCCACATGGTAATGGGCCAGACTCTATCTGTTCATACAGACTTCACCTCAGACCATGCTGACTTTCCAGACATGCTCTTTAATACCTTTGAGGCATCTGTCCCTTTAAATGGCCCATTTTACCGAGCCTCCAAAAGTAACGGTTCTTTTGCATCTCTGGGAATAGATCATCCATTTCTACCCTCCTCCATTTCCAAACTGGCCCAGTCTCCCTTAGCCCCAGCACCATCTAGTTTCACCTCCCCAACAAGTGGCAAAAATCCTGTGATGATCCTCAACGAGATGCGGCCAGGCGTTAAATATATGTTTGTGTCAGAAAGTGGGGAGAGCCATGCCAAAAACTTTGTCATGTCAGTGGCAGTAGACACCCAGACCTTCCAGGGTTCTGGTCGAAACAAGAGGCTGGCCAAGGCTCGGGCAGCCCAGGCTGCTTTGTCAGCCCTCTTCAATATGCAGCTGGACCAGGCACCATCCCAACAGCCCATACCCAGAGAAGGACTGCAGCTTCACCTACCACAGGTAAACACTGGAAGATTACGGTACTATCTTGTTTTGTAGTCACAATCGCCATATACCTTTCTTGCTTTTATTATGTTCCACATCAGTTATTTTTATTGTTTTGTTTAATTTTTATTTGACAAGGATAACTTAAAGTACTTATTTTGTATCAGAAGTAGCTTAAAGCTGGTTTTATCCGTAGCCACAAACTGTTTCCATTTTCACTGTTTTGATTTCCATAAGTACTTTCAATTGAGACAAACACAATGCAAAGCACGTGAAGAAAGTTTCAGTTATATATAGTTAATATTTTTGTTTTTAATTGCACAATTTGTTTCTAATACTTCAACACAGACCTGTAGGGCAACAGTTGGTTGGTGCAACAAAATGATCTTGGGTTTAAAATTCAAATGGAGGTCCATCTTACATTATTATCTTGTTGTCATCACTCTGTTAAAATCCAGGTCTCTCTTGTAAATGAGTCCTCGTGGCTCAATGGGACTAACCTGTTTAAATAATTATGAATGAATTAACTTTGATTTAACCAGGCAAATCCCATTGAGATCACATATCTCTTTTGAGAGGGAAGTCTGAAGGCATGCATGTATTTGGTCTGTGGGAGGAAACCGGAGTACCCGGACGAAACCCACGCAGGCACGAGAAGAACATGCAAACTCCACACAGAAAGACCCCAGGTCCAATCGGGGATTGAACCCAGGACCTTCTTGCTGTGAGGCAACAGTGCTAACCACTGAGCCATCATGTTGCCATGGAGTTTGCATGTTCTCCCTGTCCATGTATGAGTTTTTCTCCAAGTACTCAGATTTTCTCCTACAGCACAGCAGAGTTCTGCTCCACCTCTTTGGTTCCAATGGATCTGATTAAGTTCTGAAAGCTCACCTCTGAACGCGACATGGACGCTTTACTTGTGATTTATGAACCGTTTTGAGTTGTGTTCCCTTACAACGTTGTCACATTAGTCTAACAGTGTTAGCGACAGCAGTGCATGATAAAAGTTAGTGCTTTAGCGTTAGCTTCTGCTAATTTTTTGTTAGCGGTTTAGCGTGAGCAAAACTAACTTCTTGGTTAGCTTTGCGTATCATTGCCCACCTCTAATCTAACTTACAACCCATGGACGTTCTCTTTTCCAACATTTTACCTCCAGTGTATAAACTTGACGCCTTGTATCCTGTTTTATATATTTTAATTGCATGTTAGCATAGTTACTTTAGTATTTTGGGGTTGTTTTCTTTTTTTTGTCAATTAAGCCATGTTTAGAAATAGTGCCATGTTTACGAGGATATTTTTTAGATATAACAAAAAAACATTATTTTGGAAAAACTGCTTTTCTATGTGGACGAGACCTGAGACAACTTTCCATCACTCTAACGTCATTAGAAAATCATCTCCTGGTCAATATGATTGATGAGGCTAAAAGTGTTTACAAGATAGTGGTAAAAAAAAATACTGCTGGACAAAAATATATTGAAATATTCCTCTGATTTCAAAATCCTACCTTAAGAAATTAATACATTCCAGGTAAAAATAAAAATAAAAAAAAATTCCTACACCTATTTAAAATCTCTGTAAAGGGTCAACCTTCAATATTTAAAATTTTCAGGTTTATTTGCCATTATTCCTATAACATTCTGTTAATTCCCATTTCTCCACATGAGAAGTCTCCATCCCTCCCTCTCATTCTTTTAGTCTTTGGAGAAGTTTCCAATTTAGAAAACTTAGAATTTCACATTATAATACATTACATAGAAAATGTTCAGTGTTCATATTTATTGGGACAAATTAAGGGTCCACTTTAAAATGCTTTTCCTCTACAAATGTCACTTCTGTGACCGGCTGATTAAAGGTGACTTCAGTTGAGACAAGTTTAACACACTGGTCTCCTATTTACACATAAAATAATCCCTTCCTGTTAATATACCCTTGCACACTGATAGAAAAGCTGCTATCTTAATTACCATCGCCCCGAGTGTGTTTCAAACGCAGGTATTCATTAAACCTGCCTTAGCATGTCACTGTCTGACTCGCAGAGCAGTGAAGCAGACGATCCGAATGCCTGTCATTCACACCAGGAAAGAATTCCTAATTGAAAATCGATGAACGCGAGTGGAATTTTTAACAGCTTTTCGTTTATTTTTAGAATTATCTTTTGGTGATTAATAATATTGCTGCTCAGCCACTTTTCTACTTTTGTCACAATTTTCACCTGCTACAGTTGTGTGTGTATATATATATATATATATATATATATATATATATATATATATATATAACAACTAAGAATTAAAGCCCTGTAACGATTGCGGCTATACCCTTATCCAAGGACTGAAGAGACCAGGTACCAAGACTCAAATTGTATTTACAGTGTTTATTTACAAAGTGATAATTCAGCAAATGTATTGGGGAGGGAGCTGGAAGCTATATAGCAAGACGATGGGTTACTGGTCAGTTGTGAGGAGAGCTGACCCAATGATTCCAGGGCGAAGGAGGTGAACATCTGAACAATGGTTCCAAGCAGGAGGTGAGTGGTAGGAAGGCGTGGAGGCAGCTGAGGAGGCATAGGAGAATCCAGGGGACAGGAGGACCTCGGGGATTATACACTGGACGCACAGAGAAATAAAAAGTCTGTTAATATTCAGTTTAACTCTCAAGTAAAATGCTAGAGCCGAACTACCATTGGCAGGTAATGCTCCAGCGCTGACTGGATGTCCTCTGCAGCCTTTTATGCTCCTCCTGTTCATCAAGCCGATGATCCGTTGTGGGTGCAGGGAGCTGGCAGAGCAGAACTCCCACAAGACTAAGCATTCCTTGGAAGGAATGCATATCATCTGCTGCCTTTTCATGCCAGAGATTTAACTAAAATTATCTGGTGCTGTGATGTGACCGTTGTTTTGGTCAAACCCTTTCCTAAACCTCGGGCACAGTCTCGTGCAGTATTGTGAGATTCAGCTTAGTGAAGTTTGTCACTCGCTTTAAATTTTGAGCTGTCTAAACATTCCATAGTTTCATATAATTGTATTTTTTATGTAGTTGTTTTGTAATTTAAATCTTCTAATTCATATGACAAAAATAAGACCTCACAGATCTTCTAGCGGTTTGTCTTATATTTGACATTCTTCCTCCATTTTGCTTAGGTCTTGGCGGACGCCGTTTCTCGTTTGGTCATTGACAAGTTTAGCAAACTGACGGACAAATTCACATCTCCACACGCTCGGCGGAAAGTCTTGGCTGGAGTCGTCATGACAACAGGTATTTGTTTGTCTTGAAATTTCGTCCTGTTGCCTCCGAGATCCGACTACAGATAAGCGATAGAAGATGGAGATATGGCATCTTTCTTTTCATGTGCACAGGTTGCTAAACAGTATTGTGCACATTATTTTGTTCGTTACGTCACGTTTGCCTGCGTCCACACGCTCCACCTTGGCAGCTACACCAACATCACCATGTAATGAAGCCACAATACAATTATAATATTGAAAATGATTGACGTAACTTTCAGGGGATTCCCGAAGGCTCAGAGCCCCGTGGTTTGGTCCCACCCACTCTACATCAGCATTGTGATTGGTTCATTTTCCTGTTCGTTATTAAACAAACTCATCCTCTGACTTAGCTCAGCCTTCGGTCCTGACGGAGAAGTCCTAATCTATGGCAAAGCTCCTTCGAACGTTTCTGCCTGGAGACAAAAAAATTAAAATAATCTAATTGAACAATTGTGGTTTCATTAATTAAAAAGAGTTTCTTGCTCAACTTCAACATAGTTTACAGCAAATAAGAGAAAATAGCAACAATAAAAACGGCACTGAAAATTTGTTGTATAAAAAATAAAAATTTAAATGTAGCATTTCATGTGCTGAGTTCGTAGGCCTTTTCTGAAGGTGTTTAAGGCCCTAAGGGTTCTCCACTGCCGGCTAGTCTCCAACAGACGCAGTGAGACGCTGGACTTGAACAGTGGATAACATTCTAAGAACTTTGCTGTGTCTAAGCATCTTTAGATGGTAAATGACCATCTAATTCCCGTCCTCTCCCTCCTGCAGGTTCTGATGTGAAGGAGGCTCAGGTCATCTGTGTATCCACAGGGACGAAGTGTATCAACGGCGAATACATAAGCGATCAAGGTTTGGCTCTGAACGACTGCCATGCTGAGATTGTAGCCCGGCGCTCCCTCATCAGGTTCCTGTACTCCCAGCTGGAGCACTTCCTCAGGTGATGGCTGCTGTGTGTGAAACTTTAAACTGCTGAACATGTCACTTATTTCATACACCTGCCAGGAAAATGCCTACGTCAGAATAGGCCTGTCACGATAACAAATTTTGCTGGGCAATTGATTGTTTCAAAAATTATTGCGATAAACGATAATATTGTTTGAAATTTGACAATGATTATTCATGTCAAATTTAAGAAGAAATGTTTTATTTTCGTGTGTGTGTAATACCTTTTTTGACCACCGGATGGCAGTATAAGACCATTTGAACAGAAGGATGAATAGCAAGGGAGCGAGTAGCGTGTCTCTTTAAGAAAAATGGAAGGGAGGCCCCTTGACATGACATGGGCTGTCTCTCGTTCCTGTTTTTCGGTTCTCAAAATGGCGGACGCTCTATGTGGTTTGAGTTCTTTAGCATAGCATTTGTCACACAAAGCTTTTAATAAACTATCAGTAAACAAGTTATCAGCTTCTTTTTGCAGAGAAAAACAACTTTTTACACAAAGGCACGGGTTTCAACTGTGAATTTTGGAGCTTTGAAAAGACAGAGGTTTTTTTCCCCGAGGTCGGCCTGTTAGCTTAGCTCGTAGCTTAGCTTCTCAGCTTAGCTGATTTTAACGATCCAAAACACGATTTTGGATCGTTAAAACAGATTTTAAAGAGAAAGGGAGGGGTCAGTGACGAGCACCGGGGTTGAGTCTCTTGTAATCTGGTGACTTCAGTAGACAGAGACACGAAGAAATGATAAAGCCGATAAATGAAAATGAGGTTGATAATTTTCATTTATCATGCGATTAATTGATTTATCGTTTATCGCGACAGGCCTACCTCAGAACTACTTTAACAGAGATTTCACGAACGTCGTCTAGTGGCTAACCTTCCAACTGTTTACTTCTTTAGTAACAATGAAGGCGAACACCAGAAATCCATCTTTGCCAAGTGTGACAGCAAAGATGGATACAGATTGAAGGAAAATGTCCAGTTCCATCTATACATCAGCACGTCCCCCTGTGGAGATGCCCGCATCTTCTCACCTCATGAAGCTGGTGTGGAAGGTGAGTAAATTACTGGATTAAGGAAACCAGTTTTTCTTTTTGTTTCCATTAGATCTGGTATTTGCTGTTCCATTCTCACGTCGTCTTGTCTTCAAATCCAAAAGATCAAGGGGACAGACACCCGAACAGAAAAGCCAGAGGACAGCTGAGGACTAAAATCGAGTCCGGTGAAGGGACCATACCCGTGCGCTCCAATTACACTATTCAGACGTGGGACGGGGTTCTTCAGGGCGAAAGGCTGCTCACCATGTCGTGTAGTGACAAGATTGCCAGGTCTGTGTTCAGTCACTCAACCTTTATTTATACAGGTTAGTCTCATTAAGTCACGAGGACTCTTTTACAAGAGAGACCAGTTTTAAACAAAAAACACAGATGAGGTACAAACAACAGCAGACAGTCATATAAAGAAAATTTAAATAAAAACGAAAAAAAAAACCAGCTACATTATAAAGCAGTGTAAAATACTATACATTATAGTATATTATTCTATAATACTATACATTATAAGATGGTGTAAAATACTAAAAACAGGAGCGTGTCTGCAGTGGTTTTTACCATTAACTTAGAAGTTGTTTAAAATCCTTTCGAGAGGTCAAGGTCGAGAGCTTCAGATCTTTTTTAAGGATATTCCAGGAAACGGGAGCGGAGTAGGAGAAGGCCCTTTTACCTAGTTCAGTCCTCACTGAGGGAACGCTGCAGGTAATAATGTCCTGAGAGCGCACGCTGTAGCTGCACTGATAACGTGACATATAGGAGGAGATGTATGAAGGCAGCAGACAAAGAAGTGATTTAAAGAAGAAAATGTACCAGTGGGAGAGTCTGTGTGAAGTTAATGATGTCCAGTTAACCAGTGAATACTGGGTGCAGTAGTGGGTACGATAGTTACAGCTAGTTATGAATCTTAGCATAATGTGATAGACAGCATCCAGCATCTGCAGAGTGCTTACAGTAGCATTCATGTAAATGTCACTGTAGTCGATGGAGTGGAGGAATGTAGCAGTTACACGGCATTTCCTAGCGTTTAGAGTTAAACAGGATCCATTTCTAAAAAAAAAAAGAAATTCGGTTTTACTTCCAATTTCTTTAACAAGTTTTCAACATGAGGTTTAAAAGAGGGATGCGGATCGACCAAGATACCAAAGTATTTATAAGAATCGACAAACTCAATAGGGACACCATTTGAAAATAAAATAGAAGCAAGGACTGCTGGTACTGACTTCCTGTTTGAAAACACCCCTTTGGTTTTATTTGTATTTAGCACCAGTTTGAGATGGAATAAATCTGACTGGATGATGTTGAATGCAGACTGTAAAAGCTGGAAAGCCTTAGCAGCTGTTCTAGCTCGACAATAAACTACTGTGTCACTGGTATAGAAATGTAAGGATACATCACGATTGATCTGACTTGCATTACTTATGTAGATTGTGAAGAAGGTGGGTCCCAAGACTGAACCTTGTGGTACACCATTGTTAACAGTTAAGTAACAGGAGGAAGTACCGTTATGTTGTACACATTGTCTCCGATCTGAGAGATAATTAGAGAACCAACTTTGACAACTTTGTACATTTAGAAATGATAATGAATTACTCAGTAGATCTTAACGACTTCACCATCAAAATATTCTACATTTCAAGTAACTATGACTCTTTGGTCTGCAGAGGAATTCATGGTCAACTCAGTGACTTCCAGTTGATAAAACACCCCTCCACCACCGTGCTTGACAGTTGGCATGAGGTGTTTATGCTAATATGCTGCGTTTGTTGCTGTGCATCATGGGTAATCAAACCTATTTTGGTCTCATCTCTGTAAAGGACATTGTTCCACAAGTTCATTCAGATGAAAATTTCCAAGCCCAAAGCTACGAACTCTCTACACAAGTTTCAGTCTTTACAGGTTTTGAAAAGATTCATTCAACCTTTATTTATACAGGTTAAACCCATTGAGTCTCGGGGACTCCTTTACAAAAGAGACCTGAACCAAGATTTGGCGTACACACTGATGGTCTGGTTTCAGCTGATTTTTGGATGTCGAATGAAAAACGACCGCACTAACTGCATCTGTCTGTCATAGACCGCATGATTGGTCAAACTCAAAACAACCGGACGCAGCCAAGTCTTGCAAGGGTGACCATTTTAAGGATAAACAAGCGGTACGTCGATGTTCCCCGTTGCTGAGGGATTTAAATAGTGAATGTTTGGTTTTTGAGATAATTTTTCTGGATTGGGATAGAACAGGGAAGGCAAATGAACCTTAATGTTTTTGGTGCAAGATATACAAGTGAGTGTTACATTGTGTATAATAAGAGACGTAGGTGTTCTCTGTTTTTTGCTTATCCGAGGCAGCATAGAGTGACGGATCCTGGTGAGTGGAGGGAGCAGTTTTATTCGTGACCAGGCTCAATGGCAGAGCCAGAAAGTGGCCAATGGTGGCCTTGGCCCCCATAGATTAATCTTCGGCCACTCCAAGGGCCACCTGAATCATTTAAAGAAACTATACATCAATATTAAAACTAGAAAGCATAGATTCCTCAAATGATGGGTGTGATCAGTTCACGTATACAGTAGCTATATGGCGTGGCCATATTGGATTTTGACATGGCAACCCAGGTTTCAATAGTGACATTTCTTATATCTGCTGTAGATACAGCCACACCAAAGTGGAAGTCAGCCTGTTGCTTATTTTTCAAGTTGTCTTGCTCTTAAGACGGGCATTATGTACAGTATTTGGTGTAATTCTAGTACATGTCAGCTTTTAAATAATAAACTCTGCAGACCTCCTGAAGTTATTGAAAGGACTCTTTAGCGGACCAGTAGGGGCCCTGATGATCATGTGCGCATGTAGAGACTGAATTATCTCAGTGTCTTTCAGCAATCTATCTACTTGTGCCTCTGCTGTTAACTGCACTTTTCAGAAGTCATCAGATCACAGGAGCTCTGATTAGGCTTCTTGATTAGTCACCAGGAGGTTCCTCACAGCTTTCGGCTCCTTTTAGACAAATTCAGTTTGTAAATTCGGGAGATTTCTGTGCTGATTTTGTTGATTCATTCCTTTTATTTTCTCAAACAGGTGGAATGTGGTTGGCGTCCAAGGCTCTTTGATGAGCTACTTCACTGAGCCCATTTACTTCTCCAGCATCATCCTAGGCAGCTTGTACCATGCCGACCACCTCTCCAGAGCCATGTACCAAAGGATCACAGAGATCGAGGCTCTGCCTCAGTCCTTCAGCCTTAACAGACCACTGCTCAGCGGTAAGCAGCATGCTTTTTTTTTAATGACAACTACCTGTAATCTGCTGTTTTCCACTGGTAATAAAACAAGTACCGTATTTTTCCCTATAAATCACAGTTTTTTGCATAATTTGCATGCCCTGCGACTTATACACTGAAGCAACTTATTTATGTTTATTTCCCATATTTATAAACCAGTTTTTGGCTGCGATATGACCATTTTCATTCATTCTGACTGAAAATATTGAACACTAGCATTTTCAGCCACTAGATGGCATTTGAGTAGTATTGCATGCCGTTGTGTCATGTAATAGATAAAAGTGGCTATTAATAACACGTTTGGCTTGCCATAGTCTGCCACCTTTGTCCAGCTCACCTGGAGCAACCATCAAATCAGTTTCATTTCACTGCGCCACCCCGGCGTAATTCAGCTAATTTAACCAATAAAGTGCATTTATTAAGGAAAAGTTCAACTGAGACACACATTTACTATAAAGTCAAGCAAACAAATAATAGTTTTAGGTGCTTATCTTGTTAAATTTTGAAGAAATGGGCATCGTTACTCATTCCTGAGCACCTCCCTCTGCATGGTCCCGGAGCATCGAGGCGGCAAATTCTTTTGAAATGCAGCTGATTTGACCGTTAAAGTCCTTTTTATTAAGGAGAAATTAGACTGAGATGCACCTTTACTATAATTTCGAGCAAACAAACCAATTGTTTTTAAATGTTAATCTTGTTAAATTCTTGTTAAAGTCCTCCCGTGCACACTCCCACGGCAGCCAATCGATTTTTGACACAACACCGGTCCACATTTCCAGGTTTTCAGTGGTGACGCGTAATAGATGTGACATGTACTGCGAAGCAATTTATTTGTTTTTTTCCACTTTATTAGACATATTTGGACTGATGCGACATATACAGCGGTGCGACGTGTACGGCGGAAAATACGGTAGTCTTAAAACACTAACTCTGCGTGCAAGAATTTGCAGATTTTATTTACAATGAAACGTGAAATGCTTAAGCTAGGAAATTATATATTTATTTGAAAAGGTAATGTAATTTTGAATTATTTGACAGAACACACCTTCCAACGGTACAGGTCCATGTTTCCCACCGTGAAGCATCTCATCTTTTAACATCTCAGACTGAGGAGACAGATTGAGCTTTTTGAGGGGAATATTGTCCCGTGATGGTGGATTCTAGTTGTTCAACAGTCTTTGCTGGATTTTTTTTTGTATCAAGTGTTTTCTATTACCGTACTTTCCGCCGTACACGTCGCACCACTGTATAAGTAGCATCAGTTCAAATATGTCTAATAAAGTGGAAAAAACATATATAAGTCGCTTCACTCTATAAGTCACATCTATCATGCATCACCGCTGACAACCCGGAAACGTGGGCCGGTGTTGTGCCAAAAATCGATTGGCTGCCAAATGGCGGCCGCGGGAGAGTGCATGGTAGGACTTTAACAAGAATTTAACAAGGTTAACACTTAAAAACAACTATTTGTTTGCTCGAAATTATATTGAAGGTGTCAACTTTTCCTTAATAAATGGACTTTGACGGTCCAATCTGCTGCATTTCAAAAATCGATTCGCGGATGCGGGAGCGCGCAGAGGGACGACTCGCTGTGCATTTCTTCGCACTTTAACAAGATAACCGCCTAAAAACAATTATTTGTTTGCTCAACATTATTCATTCATTCATTCAACCTTTATTTATACAGGTTAGTCTCATTGAGCCTCGAGGACTCCTTTACAAGAGAGACCTGTTTTTTAACAAAAAACACAGATGAGGTACAGACAACAATGGACAATTATATAAAAAGCATATACAATGAAAAGTAAATAGAAGAACTTATATAAAAACGAAACAAAGACAGCTACATTATAAAGCGATGTAAAATACCAAAAACAGGGAACATGTCTGCATTGGACCCCGCCATGAACCCAGCAGATGTCCAAAGTCACCTAGAGGTCAAACTCGAGAGCCCCAGATCTCCTTGCAAGGTGTTCCAGGAAACGGGAGTGGAGTAGGAGGTGTGTCTCAGTGGAACTTTTCTTTAATAAATTAGCTTTAATGGTCAAATCAGCTGCATTTCGCCTGGGCGGCGCAGCCAAATGAAGCTGATTTGATGTTTGCTCCAGGAGTTCCGGAGCGAGACGAAGGTGGTTGGTATGGCAAGCAAAGTGTCTCATTAATAGTCACTTTTACCTATTAATGAGACACTTGGCTTGTCATGTTACTCAAGGGCCCTCTAGTGGCTGAAAATGGTAGTGTTCAATATTTTCCATGTCAGAATGAATGAAAGCAAATCTTTTTCTTGCATATTTCTGCAAGATGATGTCAGATGTGATGCTGTGTACATTACAGGAGCGTAGCTTCATTAAAGAAGAGTCCAGGTGCTGAAATGACCTGCCTGAAATCCAGACTTCTACCGTATTTTTCACCGTATAAGTCGTACCTCTTTACATAAATTTGCATGCCTTGCGACTTATACGGCGAAGCAACTTATTTATGTTTTCCCCCCATATTTATAAACCAATGTTTGACTTGATATCTGACGCATGCCTTTTGCACAAATGCACCCCCATACCATCAGCGAGGCAGGCTTTTGACCCACTTGCTGTTAAATGATTTTTGGTCCAAAGAAGATAAATTATGGAAAGTTTGCCCATCTTTACCTCTGAAAGATTCAGCACCTCTTAAATGATCTTTTACACCCATTCCTTTTACGGGCCTTATACAAATAAACTTAATTAACTTCAAAATGTTCCTCCAGCTGTACCTGTTTGTGCCACTGTACATCTTTTGTTGCCCCTGTCCCAACTATTTTGAGATGTGTTGTCAAGGTTACCAGTTTTTTCAATAAAAAAAAACAAACTATTTCATACTTTATGTGATCTTTACCATGTTCCACTGTGAAGGAAATTTTGTTTTATGAGATTTCCCAAACATTGTGTTCTGCTTTTATTCACACATTTTACACAACACCCCAACTTTGTCAGAGTTGGAGTTGTAAGCATTTTAGAAGAACATGTTTTTTGGGGGGGTTAGATTTTAGGGAACATTTATGCTAATGGCCTCTGAAATATGTCAAGAAAAAAACATCTTATTGAAAACATTAGCAATAAGAAAAAATCCTAACTACGAAATGGACGTTGGTGTTCTACAGGAATAAGTAACACGGAGGCCCGTCAACCAGGAAAAGCACCGAACTTCAGCGTGAACTGGACGGTTGGAGACTCTGGTTTAGAGGTGATTAATGCCACTACGGGCAAAGATGACCTGGGTCGACACTCTAGACTCTGCAAACACGCGCTTTATAGCCGCTGGACGCGCCTGCACTGCAAGGTAACGTGCTGCTAACGCATTGTTCTGACCCGTGAGGTAACATAACAAATCTAATCATGATATTCGACACTTAACATTTAGCGGAGCATTTATTTATTGAACATATTCCAAAATCGAGAGGAAAACTTCAACTAATATTAAAGGTCTAGCATTTTTAGCAGTAGCATAGCAGCTGCTGAACAAAGTTCATCTTATGATGAGAGTGTAATTATAGCCAGTGATGGCTCCTGAGCAAAAATATTAGTGGGGTGCACAATATCTTCTTGAAATTTTACACATTGCGTTACATTTTTTGTGAAAAAGCAATGATGTTCCTCTTTAGTATTTAATTTACTGATAGTTTTTTGTGTGCGTCTACAAAGTTTTTGCCTTTTTTCTCCCTCCCGTGGGTTCAGGTTGCTTCGTGAAAAGCAGTCCGGGCTAATGAATCAATGGGCTTTGTCAGTTTTTCCTGCTACAAAATACAGATGCCAAAAAGGGGGCTGAAAATGATGTAACAACTTGGATTATGTTTAATGTCAAATTTATTCATGATATTTACTCTCTCTAACACAATGACATCCTAAGCATTTCATTGTTAACCTTGTGTTAACCTTGCATATGACAAATAAACAACTTGAACAGCACTCAAACAGTGCAAATCTGTAAAATTTCACAAATCTAAACTGAACGGCTCGCGTGATGTCATAATGTTGTACTGGCTGCAGGCATCCTTGTCATGCAAAAACGGTGCCTTTTATATCGGTGAGTTATTTTGATGGAATGGCCGATGTTTGATATTTAACTTTATAACTAATATAAACCGATACCATGCCGATAATATTGTGCATCCCTAGTTTTCTGTTCTGGTCCCATCTGTCTGCTCCAAACGGATTTAAAAATAGAATATCTCCACTGTGTGACTCGGCAGGTTTCACTGCAGCTGTTCCTGGGTTTGATCTCGCGTCAGGTCTAGGTAGAGGTTGTATCAATGCACTAAAAACCAGCCAAATGTGTCCACAGGGCAGAAAATCAGATGTCCCAACTGAAATGGACCTCCCTTTTCAGATCACTGGTTGCAAGTTCAGATCCGCTTGACGAATGCAGATCGTTACGCGATACTGCTCCATAACAGTAAATAAGTAAAAACTTGAGGATGAAGCACTGAAAATCATTTCAAATTCCATTTAATATTGTCAAAATAGTTTAAAAATACACAGAACAAAAGTATGCACAACAATCTCAATGAATAAGTAATTTACACTATTTTTTAAGGGGGACTACTTTGTGGGGTGGATGAATTTTTTAGGTGGGGCTCTACCCGACCTGCCCCTATGGACCGGCCACCACTGGTTATAGCTATTTTTAAATGGTTATTTATGCTTGGAAAAAAACATTTATGGTAAAATTGACAGTCAGTCACTGGTTAACTGGACATCATTAACTTCACGCAGACTCTCTCACTGGTACATTTTCATCTTTAAATCACTTCTTGGTCTGTTGCCTTCATACATCTCCTCCTACATGTCTCTGCGTGAGTGCAGCTACAGCGTGCGCTCTCAGGACATCATTACCTGCAGTGTTCCCTCAGTGCGGACTGAACTAGGCAAAAGGGCCTTCTCCTACTCCGCTCCCGTTTCCTGGAATATCTTACAAAAAGATTTGAAGCTCTCAACCTTGACCTCACTAAGTGGCTTCAGACATCTTTTAAATTCCTGGGAAAAACTAATGCAGACATGTTCCTGTTTTTAGTTTTCTACACCGCCTTATAATCTAACAGTTTTTTTGCTACATTTTTTTATACCAGTTTCTTTCACTTGTTCTTCTCAATTTGTACACATCCTTTTATGATTGTCTGTTGTTGTCTTTGTTGTCATCATTCTTCGTTAAAAGCAGGTCTCTCTTGTAAACGAGTCCCCGAGGCTCAATGGGATTAACCTGTCTAAATAAAGGTTGAGTTGCCTGTAAGCACAGTTCACTGTGCCATCCACAAGTGCGGGTTCAAGCTCTATCATGCAAGATGTGAACACCATTCAGATATGCTGCTATCTTCTCTGGACCAAATCTACAACGGGCTGAGACAAAGTGAAAAACTACAAAGTCCATGCTCAATAATCCAGGTATACAATCCAACATTTTTCAGTCAGGTCATCTGGACAGTTTCCTTTTTAGTGCTGAAACGTTTCGCCTTCGATCCGGAAGGCTTCATCAGTCAAGGAAACGCACAACAAAACTGATTCTTTCCCCAACAGCTTACTCCAAAGTGGAACAAACCAGTTATGTTGGTGCTAAGATGGTCTCTTTGTCACGCCCCCTCCTCCATTGCTGGCCCTCTTCCTTGTTGACGGTCGTGTCAAACTGGTTGAAAACAACAAAGTCCATGCTCAATAATCCAGGTATACAATCCAACATTTTTCAGTCAGGTCATCTGGACAGTTTCTTTTTTTTGTGCTGAAACGTGCTGACTGATGAAGCCTTCCGGATCGAAGGCGAAACGTTTCAGCACAAAAAAAGAAACTGTCCAGATGACCCGACTGAAAAATGTTGGAAAGTGGAAAACTGTTCTGTGGTCAGACAAATCCAAATTTATTTATTTTTTTAAACCATAGACCCTACATCCTCTGTACTAAAAAAAACAGAGGGACCGTGCAGCCTTATTAGCGTACACTCCAAAACCATGCCTCTCTGATGGTATCGGGGTGCATTAGTGCCTATAGCATGGAGAGCTCACACATCTGGAAATACAACATCAGTGCGGGAAAATTATACACACGTTTTATAATTGTTACTTGCATCCAGATGTTTTTCAGGAAAGGCTTTGCATGTGTAATTGTTTTTCCAACACATTTTCCATCCTCACCTGTTTTTGTTCAAGCAGGTCGTGTTACACGCAAACATTGTTCTCTTAGCGAGTTCTCCTGTCTGTGACCTGCAGCTGTCCTCCACCTTGCGGATCCGAACGGCGCAGCCCAGCAGCTACCACGAGGCCAAGCAGGCAGCGGTGGAGTACCATTCTGCCAAGCAGACCCTCTTCAAAGCCTTCCACAAAGTGGGCCTCGGTGCCTGGGTGAAGAAGCCCATAGAGCAGGACCAGTTTTCACTCAACACCTGAGTGTCCTGGTGATTTCGGTAATCTGCTGGTTCTCCTTTCAGTGGAAGGATTTTTTTTTTTCTTTTGTCTTATGCTGGTGAAGATTCTCAGTCATCCAGGACATGATAAATTAAAAAAACGTTCAATACAATTCTTTTGTCATGCATTTCATGGAAGATGGAAGCAACAAACCTGTGGATTGCACCTTATTTTGTACATTATCGTCCTACTTCCTCTAAGCCACCATTAAAATTAGGCCTGTCACGATAACAAATTTTGCTGCGCGATTAATTATCTCAGAAATTATTGCGATAAACGATGATATTAATTGGAATTTGACAATAATTAGCAATTGTCAAATTCAAGACAAAATGTTGGTTAATTTTTTAGTGTTGTAACTTTTTTGACCACCGGATGGCAGTATAAGACTGTTTGAACCTAAGGATGGATAGTGAGAGAGCGAGCAGCGTGACTCTTTAAGAAAAAGGGAGGGAGGCCCCTTGACGTGACATGGGTTGTTTCTCGTTCCTGTTTTTCGGTTCTCAAAATGGCGGACGCTCGGTGTGGTTTTAGATCTTTAGCGTAGCATTTTTTACACAAAGCTTTTAATAAAAAAAAATCAGTAAACAAGTTCTCAGCTTCTTTTTGCAGAGAAAAACAAGTTTTTACGCAAAGGCACAGGTTTCAACCGTGAATTATGGAGCTTTGACAAGACGGAGGGTGTTTTTTTCCCCCCCGAGGTCGGCCTGTTAGCTTAGCTCGTAGCTTAGCTTCTCAGCTTAGATGCGTTTAATGATCCAAAAATGTGCTTTTGGACGTTTAAAACGGATTTTAAAGAGAAAGGGAGGCGTCGGTGAAGAGCACCGGAGTTGAGCCGTTTGTCATCCAGTGTCTTCAGTAAACAGAAAGAGACACGAAGAAACAATAAAGCCGATAAATGAAAACGAGGTTGATAATTTTCATTCATCATGCAATTAATTGAGTTGTTTATTGCGACAGGCCTAGTTAAAACCATAATTTTTCCTGTGTAGTTAAACCAAATGGCTGTTTTCTCTACAGATTTGTCGTCATGCCCAGTTGTAATGGTCATTGTGGTTACTGAGCAACTCATCCTGCAGTTTAGAACAACTTCGTTGCCTAATTAAAAACTTGACTTAGGGGTTTCACAAGCGTACAAACTGTACACTGGGGAGGGGGGAGAGAGTCAAGGGTTTGCATTTCAAATTGAATTATTTTTCTATATTTATAACCCGCTCTGTATAAGTGACATGTTGCTATTCTCCCACGTGGCAAATGGTTACGCACTGTTTGAGTCCGTCCCAGTCCCAAAGTGCCGACAGGTGGTCAGGATCACAGAGATCCCCTCTGCAGTCGGAGCAGACTCTCTGCAAATGAACCATGCATGGCCACACTGATCCCACTCTGGCTAACGGACCACCCGCACCGCGCCCCCGAACTCCCCAGGACTTTTGAAATCTAGACCAAACTCCGGCTCCAAGAGCGAGAGAGAGCGCCTTATCTGTGTAAGAATTTTGAGAAGTGTGCAAATGTCATCGTTAGTTAAGTGAAACAACTACCGCGCATGCGTTTGGAAAAATCTTAGCCACGGCCATGTTGCTTTCATCAATGAGTTTTTCTTATTAGCCAATAACAAGGTTTTATGTCACGGCTCCCAAATTTGGCCAACAGTCATTAAAAATACCACAAAGAAGTACAACAAAGCTCAGTCAGGTCTTCTGATGGCTTCTTTTTTTTTTGTTAAGATGTTTTGTCCTTCATCCAAAGGACTTCATCAGTCTGAAGAGCCACAACAAAATTTGTTCCACCAACAGCAACCGTCTTTTCCATCAAACAACCATCTTATCACCAGCTAACTGGTTGTTCCACTATGTGGGTTTATTGCTTGTGGGACTCGGTTTGTTGTGGCTCCACGGACTGATGAAGTCCTTTGGATGAAGGAAGAAACGTCTCAACAACAAACAAACAAACAAACAAAAAAAAAAGACCGTCCAGATGCCCTGACTGAACTTTGTTGGATTTTCTACCTGAATTATTGAGCATGAACTTTGTTGTTCATAAAGAAGTACGTTTTCGAAAGCGCACGTTGTCCAATTCGAAAACGGACGTGACAAGAATGGCCGTTGACTTTTCAACGTTCATATAAATCATTGTCGCAAAACAACGCGTTGTTTAAGCTAGCAGCCATTTAAAATTGAAAATTTGCTTACGCAAATGGTCAAGTCAAGTCACATTTATTCATACAGCACATTTAAAACAGTAACTGTTATCAAAGCGCTTACCACAAAAGATCACAGCATCAAATATCAATAACAAGATATTACAGTTGAGTTCCCAATTGAGTTAAAGCAAAGATCGAACAAAAACCGTGAAACACCCAAATGCTAAAGACGCTACTACAGCAATCAAAAATAAACGTAGTATAAAGTAGTAAAAATAACAGCTTTGTTGTCGTATTATCGTCTCATTTCGCGGAAGAAAATCAAATAATGAACACGTCACCCTGCAACTAATGCCATACTCGTCACCTTCACGCTCTTGCCTTGTCAATGTAGTGGAACGACCATCTTACTTAAGGTTCAAGGTTCTTTATTGTCATTTGCATCACATGTGGTACATGAGGTGGAATGAATTTGTGCACTCGAGCTCCCAGTTACATCCAAAAACAGCAAAAATACAAAGTATTAAAAGAAATGGCGTATAAGGATCTAAGATATACGCTGAACGAACGCTAAATGATCTACGATGTATGGCAAACACTAATAATGTAAAATAATAATGTTATATTAAACAGCAGCCCGAACATGAGTCTGTAGTGAGTAGATGGGTATGAATGAATGAATACAGCAGCATGAGATAATTAGTACAATTAGTACAACTTTAGTGCAATATCCATGTATTCACATGGGTTTTATGTCTCAGCTTTACTTGTAATTAAATAAGTTTAGTGAAAAATCAACATTTTGGAGGAGGGTATGTTTTATACACTTGTGAAAACTGACTCACCCCTTAGCTCAGTCAGGTTCAGCCTTTTGCTTTGTTCCTCTATACTTTGTCTAATTTAGCAAAAGAAAATCTTGTAAATTGTCCTAAGTTTGCATGATAAGACTTTGCTTATGGCCACACAACTGAACCCCAAAATAACGGGCAAATAATGGCAATCTCTCATGTTATTGGTTAAATGACACAACTGTTTAAAAAATTCCCCAAAAATAGTAAATAAGAGCATAAAACAAAAAGGTTTAACTCGTACTTTTTTCTGTTTATGATTAGTGTTTGTATCTGTTACAAATATCGTGAATATCTGCTTGTGGGAAGTATTTTTAAACTGCGTTTGATTTTTGGAAATTGTTTCAAGACCCTTAACTTGGTGTTTTGTGGCCCGTATGGGTTTCCTGACCCCAACTTTGGGAGCCATTCCTGCAGATGGATTATTTGCTTGAAAGTATTTCTTGTGTGATTTGAAGTTTTGAGTTGATCGGTCTCAGCTACTAAAACACCAAATTTTAGCTCAAGAAACAAAGAGGAATATGGGGTAGTTCTGGAAACGGTACGAAAACCCGCGAAGAAATGACTTGTGAGGTACTGGTTGGAATTGCCCATGATGTTTAAAAAAAGTGAGCTCTGTGCTTCTTTTTTCATGTTTATGTGAAAGAAAATAAAACTACAGCTTGGACACATTAAAGTATTAATGGGGTTCTGAAAAAAACATACCAGTAGTCTTAAATCCAAAACAAAACGTTGGTCAGTTGTATTTCTACAAGGTACAAAATCTTAAATGTCCACTACTTACTATTTTACAAAGCTTTGTTTTAGACATCAAATATGTTCAAATGTTAATTTTATTTCAATTTTCCAGAACCTGTTCAGACAAAACAACTGGAGCTGATCTAATCGAACTGTGTTTGCTACTAGTGGTGCCCCGATGGAAGGTCTCATGAGGGGGAAAAATAGACACATTTATTCAAGTTTTTTTATTTATTTAATTTTATTTTTGTGTTGTCAATAAATAGGATTGTTCACGACAAAGCCTAAAAGTCATCCTAATTGTAAGAAGTGTTTGAAACGCTTTCGTAACCTCCCAGTAACAGTACAGCCCTCTAGTGTTCCTTGGTGGGAAAGTCATTGAAATTCATTATAAATGCATCAAAGTTCATGCTCAGTAATTGAGGTAAAGAATCCAACAAAGTTAAATCAGATCATCTTGACAGTTTCTTTTTTTTTTTTTTTTGGGATTCTTCGTCCTTCATCCAAAGGACTTCATCAGTCCGAGGAGCCACAAGCAAGCTGAGTCCCACAAGCAGCACAACCACATAGTAGGCCAACCTTTGGATGAAGGTTGAAATGTCTCAGCAAATGAAGAAACCGTCCAGATGATTATTATAAATGCATTTTGACACAATATTTATTGTATAAAATAATGCAGTCATGGTTTGTTTGTTTTCGGTCTCTGTACTTTTGATTTTTACATTGCTCCACTAGGTGAAGTCCAACCACCGACCCATCTTGTTTGACAAAAAAATGGTGCCTCATTTTCAGTCAAACTCGAGGATCTTTTACAAACTCGCAACTGGAATAAAAGTGAAAAGTCCTTTTTGGCATTCTGAGGGTCAAAAAACGCCATATTTGTTCATTTTATTTATGTATTTGTTTAATTATTGTTTTTGTTTTTCAAAAAATGCCATAAAATAAGCATTTCATGCCCTTTAGATGAATAACTGAGACATTTGCATGCACAGGAACAGGAAGTGATGTCAAAAGGAAACTCCTGTACGTGAACAGAACATTGCTACAATGGCTGCCAATATAGACAGTAGAGAAGAATCTGATGTTCCTATAGATTATATGAGTCTATCTGAGCGACGAAGAAGAGTCAGTTCAAATATTATTGTTTCAATAATAAAAGACATGGGAGTTCCCCTTTGATGTCACTTCCTGTTTCACTGTCCGCACCAAGCTAAAAAAATGGTGACAAAATTGTCTATTATGACAAATTCCTGAAATATTACAACTAGGGATGCACAATATTGGATTTTTGGCCAATACCCGATATGTTAAAACTTATTCGAACGAT